AAAGTCCTATAAACTGCATATGTTTCATCTTCACTCTACATGTTCCCTGCAACACCATTTTCTCACTTTTAGAATGCAATCTAATGACTAATCTACAGTTTCTATAACTGAAAATTTCAGAGTTTAACTCCGAGCAACATAGGTTGGTTTACCTCCTTGTATCCTTTGCTGTTAGGGTCACAAGGCGGGATTTACCTAGTGCACACTCTCAAATAGTGATGCGGGTTTCGCTCATCACTCAAAAAAGAAAAATTGTACTTGATAATGCTAAGTTAGCAGAGAATATTTGAAAGCTTCTCACTCACAAAGATGCCAGAAAATTCTCTCCTTCATTCTCATGCAATCCCCAGAAAAAAAGAGAAACAACCTTCCCCACCCCTATCCTCTTTCTCAGACAGATAGTCCCAAATTAAATTTGTATCTATGTGAGGCAAATTTAATGCAATCAAGTAAGCAACTTTGCTCCCCAAATAATAAAAGTTTATAACGATGGACGAAAGAAGCAATATCTATCTAACAGGAAGAGAACATGATATCCATTCATAGAGAAAAATAATACAATACAACTAATAATCACCCACAGAGAACAAAAAATAAATAAATAATCTATTACTTGATGACTGAAAGTCTGAAACTTGAAGTGCCAAAAATAAAATCAACATTAAAGATTTTTCTTTGAAACAGTTGATTCACTGAACCATATATAAGGCTGGATTATGAGTTCAAAAATCCGTCATTGAAGGAACATCAAGAAACACACTAACTGGTATGAATACCTCGAGACCGACTCAATCAGCCCGACCCGGCACGCGTGAAACACGTGCCCGGGCAGAGGTCCTCAGGTGAAAATGATCGAGTGGTGGGCACCTCCGGTTCTCTTTGCAGCTGAAGCGTGAAGAGGGGGAAAGAGTGTTAGCTCAAATAACAATGCAATTAAGCTGATTATGCAGAGACATGTCAACTAGTATACAGAGAAATTAATGTTTACATGCCTGTTTTGGCGGCTGTCAAAGATTCAAGAAGTGGAAGGAGGCATGGCAGATGAAAGTGCAGGAAGCGCCACCTTTTATGGGAGGAAGAGAGAGCTCAGAATGTTAGTTTCATGTCACTGCCACGGCTGTTGAGGCCATGAAGTAAAGTATTTTTTTATGAATATGCAAAATTTAAGAAATATTAAATTCAAATATGATAAATAAATATTATATATACACTGAGGTGTCCTGAATAAATAATAGTAAATATTAGGTGTGAGAATGTCTTACAAATCTTTATCTAATAACTGAAATTAGAGATTCATACACTATAGAATATTGAAAGAAAAAAAAAAATTCTACTTTAAATTTACCTATATTTATTATATTTGCGCCAAAATTTGCATGGCTTAATGCAACTAATTAAGTTGTGTATTATAGCATATAGTTAAAATATTGCATTATATGTGATTAAATTAATCTAATAAGTAAAAAAATTGTAACTAAATCAAGTGACTGTAATTCAATAGAGTAAAGTCGGTTGTTAAACAAAAACTAAATTAAACATACATTATGGCTTTGAGTACTAAAAACTAAAGTCGGTTGCTAATAAGTTTAATCGTTTACTTACATAATGTATGTTTAATTTAGTTTTTGTTTAAATAAAATCTTAAAATCCTAACTTAATGGAAGCAAGATAAACTTAATTTCTTTCTAGCATATTGAATCATTTTGATTTTGTGCATTTATAATAGACTTAATGATTAATGGATTTTGAGAGTTTAGAGAAAATTCTTTACGTGTTGGTCGAGAGAGTGTATGATTCATGAAATATGGTGTTAATATTTTTATTTGAATTACAGTTACTTAATTTAGTTGTTAAACAAAAACTAAATTAAACATACATTATGTAAAGTCGGTTTAAAATAGAGTAAACTAAATTCATTGATATAAAAAATGAAAAATATCATTTTAATCAAGAGACAAATAGTTGAATAAACTCATAATCTCATATATGTATATACTACTTTTTAAAAAAAGTTTATTGAAATTATGGAGTGACATTTTAAAATGAAAATATAATGTGGCTTGCGTATGACATAACACAAATCGTGTGATTTGACAATGACAACTCATACATGTGACAAAATATTGACATGACAAAAAAGTATCATAGTTTAAGAAATAAGTTTAAAACTATCCTATTTGGATAAATAATATATACTCCGTATTTGAAAATTTTGTTGGAAAAAAAAATCGATTAGAGTACTAATGGAAAAATTATAGGTGTAAAGCTAAGGTTGCTTAACAAAAAGCATCTCCATGCAATCAAGCAAAAATTATATGAGACTAATAAAGATTGCTAATAAGTTTAATCGTTTACTTGCAAAAGTCGTTTTTCTATGTTATAAAAACATTAAATTTAAGGAAAACTTCCCCAATTCGCGTTATTATATTTTGTAGAAAATTGATGAAAAAGAATATTTAGGATACATGTGTTTAACCTGCTTTTGTATATATATGAACGAAAAATAGAGATAAAATGTTAAATAATGGTTATTAATAGATATATAAATTTGAAACCATACTTAATGGTTCCTCACCGCTCCAACCCTAGAGACGGATGGAGTCATGGAGGAGATAAATTGCAGAGTAGAGTCCTTGGTACGATTCAAATCCTGCATTTTATGGCTGTTAGTAAATCAAAGCTTATGAACCTACCAAAGACGTTATTAATAGAAATATATATAGAGGACAAATCCCATCTAAGTTGGTCTGACAGTAACCATAAGGCTCTAAGTTCAACTTTACCAGTCTATGATTCAGTCAGTTATGGGCAACCTAGACTGATTTAGCTCCTTGTGGTCTTTTGCCTACTAGAGTCACAAGGCTTCCTTCACCCAGAGCGCACCTTCGGATAGTGACTGTAAGTTTTCTCGTAAATAAAAAAAATTTAAGAAGCTAATCGACATTGATGTCTCTTGCACTCGCACTCGGTATAACCCCATATATAATTCCCAATATAAATTTAAACCCTTTTCAAAATTTTATGACTTGTACACGGTACAAACAACGTAATCTTTCTAAACTCACCCCTTTTTAGATCAATTAAACACAAGAAATTCAGTTTATTTAAACTACTGGATTTTGTACTTAAAGCGGCCATAGTTTTTTTGCAGTTGTTACAATGTCACTTTTCAAAATTTTACCATTTCTTTCTTTCTCAATTGCTTGATACTCTACGATCTTATCAGTTTTGGGAATTGGTTAGGTGATCCATATATCTTTTTTTTCCATTCTTTTGTCATTTATATTTTTAGGCAATTTTTGTGGGAAGATAGGGGGAGTAGTCTACTCTCAAGTTGTCAAAATTAATGGTGCAAAATATCTGGTATAAATCGATATCATTTGTTGTGACATTATTCAGCCAGGTAAGATGTCTTAAGATACGGGATTGACAAGTTAACTTAATCCTATCACTAGATTTTTTATAGTATAAAGATTAAGTTCAATCGTTATACCATGCACTACATAGCAATGTGCGCTCCGCGCTCCCAAAACGACATCATTTTGGTACATGGTCCAAAAAAAAAAAAAAAAACTTCTGTTTCGGATACACATAAACTCATAACAGAATACACATAATCTAACATGGTACATAATACACAGAAACTCTTAACTACATATACACATAAACTCTTAACTGAATACACAAAAACTCTTAACTTAAATACACAGAAACTCTTAACTGAATACATAGAAACTCTTAACTACATACACAAAAACTTTTAACTGAATACACAGAAACTCTTAACTAAATACACAGAAACTCTTAACTGAATACACATAAACTCATAAACATAATACACAGAAATGTTTAACTTAATATACATAATGGGGTTTCGGCCGTTTGAACGGACGAAATGACGTCAGCAATTGAAACTCGCGCGTTTTGTGCCTGGACGCACATTGCTATGTGCACCACGTCCATTGCTATGTGCACCGTGGTGCACGATATAAATTGCCGATTAAGTTAACCAATTTATTGCAGTAAAAAAAAAAAAAGTTTAACAAATTTATTAGTTAAGGGACTAAATTGAAAATTATTTATTACTCTGGAATTGTCGATTGAACTAGGGGTGTGCAAATTTCGGATAATTTTCGGTTAACCGACCGAACCGACAAAGTTCGGTTAACCGTTTTCGAACCGAACTTTTTCGGTTCGGTTAATGGTTAAAGGAATTTTAAAACTTCGGTTAACGGTTAATTCGGTTCGAAAGGTCGGTTAACCGAATTAACCGAACGGTTAACCGAAGTTTTTAATATATATATAAATAATAATATAAATATAAATACTAATTTGAAGTTATGGATGTTTGGAGTTTCTAATTAATGTTTTTGTATATTTTGTTATGAATTTATTATGATATGTATTTTATTTTAATTAGATTTATTATTTTAGGTGTTATTTTTTGAATTTTAAATTTTAGCTTTAAAAAGTTCGGTTAATCGGTTAACCGACCGATTAACCGAAAAAAATTTCGGTTCGGTGAATTCGGTAGAGCAAACTTCGGTTCGGTTAACGGTTAAAGGAAAAAAAACTTCGGTTAATTCGGTTCGGTTAAAACGGTTCGGTTAACCGAACGGTTAACCGATTGAACACCCCTAGATTGAACAATCAATCAAAATACGTCAACTTAATCCGGAAATTATTCATGTAATTCTTAATTTAACTTAATCCGGAAATTATTCATGTAATTTTTAATTTAATTGTCAATCAATTAAAATACGTCGTATCAATTATGATTTAAGGCTTGTTTAATAACTGATGGATCCGTCATTTTTGACGTTTTGATCATGTCAAAACACCAAAAATTTCGTTTGGTAATTCAATGGGATTGCTCTAAACCGTTGAAATTCCAAATGCTGCAAAATGCAGTATTCCGGGTTAGCGTTTTGAGGAAGACTTACAGTTTAACTCTCCTGTATAGTTTGGAAACTATTACATACGAACGAGATTTATGGACAGAAAGTCAGCCAAATGAAAGATTTATATATATATCATTAAAGGATTGAAGTGTATGTATACATCCCATTGAATTTGAGCTATTACATACAAATTGAACTATTGGAGCACAAATTCTTGCTACAATATCTGCAAAGGCATATTATCAGTTGTTGGGTACTACAAAAACGCCTGAAGCCAAGAACATAGGATTTTCTCGAACCCCAAGCTGGGGTGATATACGGATATGGTCACGCTCATGCATGCTCCCCTCGGGCCTCGGCTTAATGGCTACCCGAAAGGAGGCCGAGAATTGGCAGCAAAAGACGGAAATCATATGGACAAAACTGCGATATCCCCAGATTGTACACAAGAGTGCCCCTTGATGAGTAGTAAGATGAAAATGTGCAGATTATCTTATCATTGCTGAAGAACAAGATTTAGTTGAAGTGCAGATTTTGCCACCAAACCACCCCTCCTACAATACAATTTACGCAAGACAGCTGAGCAGACAAAATGTATACATAAACAAGAAGTCGATGTTATTTTACTAGAGATTTTTCCGGGGATTGGGGATTGGGGATTGGGGATTGGTTATGGTCTTTACGGTGTCTATTTTTAATTTTCTAGACTTTCCAACCATTCAAGAAAGGGGACTTACTGTATGAGTGTCGGAATAATCTGTTGGATAATTTGGAGATGCGCCAAGCACTGTCTGCAGCACTCAATTCTGTCAAACAAATTTCAAACGCTTATAAGCTGCACCGTTAGATTTTATATACACTCGTCCACACAGTAAAACGGAAGAAAAAGCACACACAATATGCTTAATCTTGATAACCATATACCTCTGCTCGGCATGAAGATCAACACCTACAGATGGACGTGCAGAAGCAGCTGATCGGACCACTGGACCAAAGATTGCCACGAGCTTCAACAGCATCTCTAGAGAAACATTTGCATGTCTACAAAAGTGAGGAAATAAAAGGCGGAACACAGGTTATGTGATTTTAAGTGGAATATTACCATAAAAAAAACGACTCCACCGTCCTCTGATACACATCATAAGTTTATTTATTTATTTTTTTTTTTGAGTACTATTGACTCTATTACAAGGTAGTATCTGTTCTATACTTTCTCTATCTATTGCAGTCCAAAGAATCATAAGTTGTGCATTATTAGTTACCTTTCAATCTTGCTGTCTAGTAAGGCCAATAGCACAGGAAGTAAAGAAGAAAACAACTCTAAGGTAATAACCTCCATTCTTTCAATCAGAACACTGACTACATCTGCTTGTACCTGTGCCATACGACATTAGTAGGAAACATGTTAAATTTCTTGAATAAATGCAACCCATTGTTAAGAAATTAAGCAAACATTTTGAACATTCTCCGTTGAATACTCACAGAATGATCAGGCAACTTTTTCAAGGCATTGATAGCACCCTTAATGTCATTCCGTTCCCAAAAATGTCGAACTACCTGCAAGGTAATCAGAAAGATCATTATCAGACTCGAAAGAAGATATATGGATTCTCAAATTTCCCTGACAGCAAAAAGTTACCTGCAACTTTGTCAGGCGCGACCTAAATGTACTTAAAAGGGTGTCATGATTTTGCATCAGATTTTCAATGATATTATTATCACTTTCAGCTGTTTCAGCCCTTCCCACAATTTGCGTATTAGTAATCTGCATATACTCAGCATGTGAGAGTTGGCTGAATTGGACCGACCAAGTGTGCCATAACAAATGTACAGCATGCGGTAGGAACAAAAACTATTTATACCACTATGAAGGCATTATCAAATAAGAACGCTACAAAGGAAGCATAAATCCTACCGGCAAAGGGGTTTCTTTTGCTTCCTCAGGTTTAGAGGACGGAACTGTATCAGAACTATGAGCATCACCAGCTCTCAACCTCTCTCTTCGATCAAATCTCTCAACCTATGAGGGGAACTCATGATAAAAGAAAAAGGTCAATGCAGAGTACTAACAATGCATCATCACTAGTACCCAAAAAAAAAAAAAAAAAAAAAAAAAAAAAAAAAAAGAAAGAAAGAAAGAAAGAAAGAAAACTAAAAGGAAGCATAAAACCATACCGGCAAAGGAGATCGTCTTGCTTCCTCAGGTTTAGAATGAGTTACTGTACTATGAATTCGTGCAGCATCAGCTCTCAATCTCTCCCGTCTATCAAATCTCTTGATCTACAAAGAAACTCAATAAAAGAAAAGGTCAATGCACACTACTTGCACGGTTGCACCATTAGTACTTCAAATATTATTTCCATCGATTTCCTCTATCTATAATTATTGGATACTATAAAGATGCAGTAACAAAAGTATTAAAAGAGGAACAAAATCTTACAGGCGAAGGAGGTGTTTTTGTTTGCTCAGGTTTAGAACGAGGAACTGATTCACGAATTTGTGCAGCATCAGCCTTCAACTTTTCTCTCCTATCAAATTTCTCAACCTACAAAGAAGCTCAAGAAAAGAAAAGTTCAATGCACACTACTTGCACAGTTGAACCAATAGTCCTTCAAATATTTTTTGATTATTTCCGTTGATTTCCTCTATATATAATTCTCTATATTGGATACTATAAAGATATAGTAACAAAAGAATATTAAAAGAGGAACAAAAGCTTACAGGTGAAGGAGGTGGTTTTGTTTCCTCAGGTTTAGAATGAGGAACTGTTTCAGTAGTACGGGAATCATCAGCTTTTAACCTTCCTGTTCTGTCAACCCTCTCAACCTAAAAGGAAGCCAATTAAAGAAAAGGTCAAAGTGGAGTGCCCACCTTAAGTACATAAAACAACTTTTTGCAAGCCTTCATGGTAGTACTTTTAAGTTCTAGAAGATCTTAGATATGATAACAGAATAATACTAAACATAAGCATAATATTCTACCGTTAAAGGGGATGTTTTTGCTTCCTCAAATATGATTTCCGTTGAATTCCACTATCTATAATTCTCTATATTGGATACTATAAAGATATAGTAACAAAAGAATATTAAAAAGAGGAACAAAAACTTACAGGCAAAGGAGGTAGTTTTGTTTCCTCAGGTTTAGAATGAGGAACTGTATCAGTAGTAGGGGAATCATCAGCTTTTGACCTTCCCGTTCTATCAACCCTCTCAACCTAAAAGGAACCAATTAAAAAAAGGTCAAAGTGGAGTGCCACCGTAAGTACATAAAATTACTTTTTGCAAGCCTTCAAGTTCTATAAAATCTTAGATATGATAACAGAATAATACTAAACATAAGCAAAATATTCTACCGGTAAAGGGGATGTTTTTACTTCCTCAGGTTTAGGACAAAGAACTGTTTCAGGACTGCTAGCATCATTAACTTGCAATATCTCTCTTCTCTCAAATCTCTCAACCAGACTGCGTGTCCTTCCTCGCACCACAGCCACTGCCAATAAAAATGGTATAAATTATATTAGATTAATTATGTCACTGTAAAAAATGCATGTACTTGTATCTGATGGTCACCTCCATTGACAACTTTAACAGAACTCAACCCTTTAGTGCTCTCCAAGGCAGCATCACCTGACACATTTTGATAACAGAAATAATTTAGTTGCTATGAAATGCATGTGGCAATGCACTTTCTCAGCTAATAAACAGGTAAACGATAGAAAAGGAAGACCAGTACTGGTAATTTAAAAAGATGTCACCAGTCTGGGAAGTGGATATCAAAGTTAGAAGTAATAAACAGGTAAAATCTACAAAAACGAGTGCAGAAAGTTTTTATTATTAACTTTTGGAAGGAATTGGCAGCCAACATATTGACAGATCTCCAACTCTCCAAGTCTTGCTGAGAGAAATTACAATATCAATTAAATCCTCAACTTCAAACAAAAAGTTTAAAAGACAAATTCCATCCCATCTTTAAGTTTTCCTTTTAGAGTGATAAATTGGGTTCCTTTATAAGGATAAAATTTCACGAAACTTCAGATCCATTCCCTTCTGTGAGAGTATCAATAATTAATACAGGTAACTCTGCAAGGAAAAAATCATGGTAACTGCAGCACCTACATCATCTTGTTTTAAACACCTGCTAATTTTAAACCAAAATAAAACTTGATGCTGGCTCTTCTTCCTACAATTCTTCTGTTTCATTTATTGGGTTATATTCCTCAGGATTCCAGAATTTCTTCATATACCAAGCATGATACATAGTAATACTTCCAGAAACGCAATGTATACAAAACTTCTATCACTAAAAAATTGTCATAATAAGGAAATTACAGAGAATTAAGAAACAGTATTTAATGCATAATTGGCCATTAATATAACTGTACGGTTCCATAACTGCCTTTTTATTGAATGTAGTATGTAGTATGTAGTATGTAGTATTCTTTTCTTCTATCTTTTGTTTCGATTTAAGAAGAGGGGTATTGTTGGAAATAAATATATAAAACACATTCAATTTATTTTACATGACATTTTATGAGATATCCAAAAGTAGTAATTAGGATAGGTTTTGAGGGATATATAGAGAGTATGTAACGAAGAATCATTAATCGAAAGCAATAAAATAATATCTTCAACCTGGTAATCTTATAAATTTCCAAAGCAATGATAACACTTTACTTTTAGGCCACAATTGTCTGGTTGGTGAGTTAAAGAAGTAAACACGCAAAATAGAAGGAATTCAAGATGAAAAGATCAACAAACTGACCATTTCCCTGATCTGGAATTGCTGACAGTAACGAGGTTTTCTCAGACTTCTCTTCATCATTTTTAATTGTTGAGTCATTTTCCTTCGAGACATTCTCAGCTAACTCTGTTTCAATTGTCTTCTCCATATCAAAGTTGTTTGATGGCCGTCTTAAATGAGATGGCTTAGGCGCACTGGCCCTGGTAGTGGAAATACTTTCCCTTCTAGAACTGGCAAAGTCTTTTCCATCTGGACTATCATGAGGCACAAGAACTGGGGCAATGAAAGATTTATTGTTGGTAGGTTTTGTGTGCAATACTTTAACAGAATTCTGCTTCTGAGTGGATAGAAGATCACTCTCCTTAGGATCAGGCGATGGAATAACTTCAGGAGGTGGAAATGAACCAACCTTCTTTGTAGTGACAGGATCTTCACCTGCATAATTAAATATTATACCAAAAATCTGGATATGAAAATGCTCCCTGAAATTGCAGAATCAAGGAACAAAATGATGACAGAAAATGGTAGCTTCTTTCAAGAGTAAAATAGCACTCTTAGCATAGTTTTAATGAAGTTTTCAGATAAAAGCCACATGAGATATAATGTATTCTACATGCTCTAAGTCTCGGCTTTTGGCATTTAAATCCATTACAAGGTGAGATACACAATAAGTTAATGGATCTATTTCCTGCTTTGGCAGAGTTAACCATAATTAAAAAGCAAATTTGCTTAGGCTATTATAATGTCTCATGCAAATCTAAATGGAGTAAACATTTTGAATGGACAAGATTAGTAAAGAAAAAGCGTTCTTAGAATATGGCGATAATTATATACTTATCAACATATCTTTAATGTTAATATGGGATTCCCCAAATATTAAAGGTCTCTCTCTCGCTCTTGGTTCCCCTTCCTCTTTCACTTTGTCTTAGTTATTTTCATTTTCACTTTTTTATTTTGTCAGTAAGGGTAATGTAATGAGTTCATGATTCAGCAACTTACTGTCAACATATATATTCTTTATCTCTTTGGAATCAAAATCAGGAGATGAGCAGCGAAGACTAGAATTTGAACTTCTATTGTTCCCTAACATCTCCACAGTACTTTCCTTGTGTTCACGTTTCTGCTCCAAGTTGCAATTCCGCTCAGCATTCATACCATAGGGTTCAATGAGCTGACAGGAAAAAAAAAGGCATTATAAAGGGGACAACAAAAGAATACCTCAATATGGGAAGCAAGAAAAACAATTATAAAAGGTAATGAATTGAGTTATCATATGTTGACGTAATTAAGGCAAGTACCGAAATATCTGCCACCCAAACTCCAACTGAGTTTTGGTAATATGTACCACCCAAAAGTTTTCCATCATGAATGCAGAGATCACCAAGCGTTGACCATCCCATATCAATGGAATCATGACAAATTACAGGTTCCCATGAATAAACCTAGAGTTCAGAGGAAGCCATTGATGTAAGTACTACTTTCAGTTTTCAATGTAAGAAAGGGAATTTAAAAAATGGTCAGAGTTAAACCTTCAAACTATCATCTAGTCCACAAAATAAAGTCCTTCCATCAGGATGAAAGGCAATTGACCGTACTCCTGTAGCCTGTAAGACAAGCAAAGCCATACGATCTGTATAAAGCTCTGGGTATTATGATCAAATTAAAATACAGCCAAAACTGAAAACGCAATGTCATAGAATTCTGACTTTTTAAGTTAAACATTAAAATTTCGAACACAAACTACAGAGAAGGAGAAACATAATTACCTCAAACAGTTTTCATAACAATACCTTCTGGTGATATGGGAGTCCAATGGGCAAATTTTCAAATAACATCAAAACTAAAAGAGGAAGTACGACAAAATAAACTATGCGTAGACGTTACAAACTAAGCCCTATGCTCTCATTAGGGAGTTAATAACTTATACATCCAAATTGGCTAACAAAGCAATGATTTAAAAACCCATAAAAGGAAATTGTTCTCCTTCTCCATATAAAATTTTGAGAATAGAGATCTCATTACACACACATTAAGGAAATATGAATGATGAAGTTCAATTCATAGTTATCTTAGATACACATCAGGGTGAAAAGAAGGGCTCGCATACCTCACGTCTCACAGATCCAATCATTTCAAAAGTTTCCAAATCCCAAAACTGTACAGTTCGGTCCGCTGAACCTGGAAAAAATCTAGAGCATTGGATTAAAAGCATAAAAATAAAACCACAAAATGTTTAAGAGAAAGGAGCATGTCTAGCAACTAGCATAAAAAGAAAATATACATGAATAAATGAGCAAACTGCATTGTAATGTAGTCCTAAGGTAGAAAGGTTTCACTCGCACCTGTTGCTAGAAGAAACTCAAGAGGATGGAAATCTATGGATCGAATATGTCCTTCATGGAACTTGAAATCATGTAAAAGCTTTCCAGCCGTTAGATCCCATATCTGTCCAAAGGTAAAAGGGTTCATGCTATGGTTAAAGCAAAGAAAAATGATCCTTTATTCCAAAGCATAAAAAGTACCTTAACAACATTGTCGAATCCACCAGAGACTACCCACCGACCATCAGGAGTGAATCTTATGGTGCTAATTCCTCGCGTGTGCCCTTTGTATGTGTGTATGCATCCTTTCTTTCTTATATCCCATATCTTTAGATTAGTGTCCATAGAACCAGAAGCAAAAAATTCACCAAATGGATGAAATTCAAGAGCAGTGCAATAGGATCTGTGTCCACTAAGCGTGCGAATCACTACACTTCAAGAATAATAGACAGATTAGAAGTCAAGTTGCAGTTTTTTAATCTCATACTTGTAGAATAATAGACACATGCAACTAATTCACCGAAGAACCTAATTTGAAAGGCAAACTTACTTTTTGTATCTTCTAGATCCCACAGCTTTATTAATCCGGATGAAGATCCAGCAGCCACTAAAATCTCAGCTGAATCAAAAGCTATAGACTCTACTGGACTTGTGTGGCCAGATAGGGTCTGTAAAGACAGTTTACAAAGACAATAACACTTAGTTACACAGGTAAATATTGTGATCATTGATGTCATTTATAACATCAAGTCATCAATCTTCTTTGGCCAACAACTCTGTTAAGTATATGCTATGACAATTGTTCAGCACTTCCCACAATAAGGGCGCATTTAATAATTGGCTACACATATATTCACTATCAACTACATGAAATAACAGCAACCTCAAGGATTCTAAATTTGTAATGAGAAATACATGGATCAAAAGTGTAGTTAAGTCACTCAAGCAGTCCATTAAATCTCTCACAATGAAATAACAAGATATTATCACTTTATTATATACACATTTTTTAAGGAATGGTATTCCAACATAAATGGTTATAAATAACTAAACATGTGTGGAACCATTCAGGAACTAATAATAACAACTTAAAAACTAATAAATTCAAACCGAGTTGAAATACTAAATAACTATTGAATACAATGTTAGTTTGTTCTTCACATTAAAATAATAAAATATGATAATACTATTAATAATGACACACGTACATTCCTTTTCTCCCGAATTCTTTCATATATTTTGATCTTGGAATATGAAATTCATTTTTGGTGAACAAATGGGGAAAAGGGAAAATAAAAAAGAGACAATTGCAAAGAAATAATCATACTTGAATTAACCGTACTGGATATTTGGATTCCATATGCAAGCATAAACTACAAAAAAGATCAGATTTTTAACTTACAGATGTGGAGGTTGGTTTGCCAATGGACCAAAGATTCACACTGTGATCATCACCCCCAGTGAGGAACATCCGACATGTCTTCTTCCCAAACCTTAAACAGTTCACATTCCCGGAATGCGCCACAAACTCCTCTATATTCATTCCAGTCAAGAACCACAAAGTAACGTTTAACTTTCTGTATAGATTCTTCAACAACATAAAACTCCTAAGAATATCTTCCTTGTGAAAAATGTGGAGAAAAAGAATACTAGAAAACATTAATCTTAATTCTCCTCTGTTCAATTACAGTGGTCAGGAAGCTCAAGCTCTCCCTAGCTGCCATGGAAATGCAGCAAATAGATATAAAAAAAATAAAAAAATAAAAATAAAAATCCACTTGCACTCTACTTGCTTAAGCTCCCCTACCATTTTCAGAAACAGTTCAGGAGAAGAATCACCAAAATCCCTCTTCGCCCAAAGCTCCCACTTCAGCTCTCCCAACAACCGAGATCCGATAAAATTACTATCAAACACAATTCTTACTCAAATAAACCAAAATTCCAACAGATCATATAAAAATAAACTAAACCCATACAGAACTTAAGCTCATTTACTTAAAACCCAAAGAAAAACAGAAAAAAGGATACGCAATTTATATCCACGCTTCGCCATCCGAAAGAAACGACTGAATTGACCGGAAAATCAAGACTTGGAGGACGGAGTGGGGCGTTCCGCAGCCGCGGAGCAGAAATCCAGCGAGAAAAAAAGCTGGGAACCGATTAGCTCAGAGTAGAGAGATTAAAGAAGTTGGAAGAAATGGAAAATTTCACAAGACCACACCTGAGTCTGAGGGGGGCCTCCAAAAGGAAAGCAAAAAATGTGTTTTTGCTTTTAAAAACTAGTCGGTAGACTCGGACCACCTAGTTCTGAGAATCGCGTTTGGATTTCAGATTACATTTTAGTCAGAGAAATAGGAAGAGGGGTAAAAGTAAACATCTTCTCCTACTTTTTTACCAAGATTCTTTGCCCAAAATGCAAAATTCTCTAGTCCCACGAAATAGTTTAAGGATCATAATGATTGAGTAGTCCATTAGTATCTGGTATTGAACCTGTCATATTTAGTGTAACTCTTACATTAAAACTGTTCTTTATCCATAATTTAGTAATTTACCACTCTAGAAACAATTTACCAGGATCTTTACTTCGTGTTTTGGACATAACCCACGAAACTTACTGCACTGTATCAGTCCATGTCCTTTTCTACAAGCTTTTTCAGTGGTTTCTTTTGTATAATACTTTGTAGAAGAGGACGTACCGCGATTCCAAACCATAGATTTCCATACCCTACAGCGACCTTAAAAAAATTCAATCTTTATCTTTCTTCTTTGGATTTTGATTGATGGGGAATTTTGGCAGTAAAATTCTGGCACCACAACTACATTACATGTGATTATCTCATACTTTCTGGACCACCAATTCTTCCCAGAATGTTTGTTTTTTTTTTTTTTTTTTCCTCCATTTTAATTTTTTAAAAGTATAATTCTATAGCATTGACCTGTAGATAGTTCCCGGCCACTATTATGTATTTTCTAGTTGGTAATATTCCCCATAATATTTTCTGCCACAATTTTATTCTCATTATGAAATTTGTCAATAAATATAAAAATACGGAATAAATAGGCCTAATTTTCTCTAAATTTTTGAGCCAATGATAAGATTGAAATAGCCGTATATTAGAGCATTCTCGTAAGTTGAGTTTTTTCTTTTTCAATTTTTTATGGACTCAACATCCACCTCATCATCTGCAGTGTGGAGTATAATTTTGTTTTTTATGCAATCAACATTTCTTTTTATTCTTGGCTTGCATACCTACTGACCTACTTAAAATTGACATAATCAAGGTTTGTTATAGTATTCTGCTTTGTAATTTGATGATGATGTTAGTAGTTAGGGGATTGAGATTTGTTGTATCCTTTTATGCTTATATTAAAATAATGGAAATAATGTATGTCATCATCCATTCTGGGAATTTTATACAGTTATAGTTTGTTACAAATAATACAAATGTATCATCCAAAACTGGAATGGACAACTTCAGAGTTTGTAAGTCAACTTGGATTTTAAAGATCAAGAATAGCTATTAGTATGCTCCATGTCTCAATTATAAGTAGGGTCAACAATCTCATCAAATTTCTTAATATTAAAAAAAAAAAAAAATCTCAGTTACAAGTATACCTAACCAAAAAAAAAAAAAAAAACATTCATTATGATTGACTTATAAAATCAACTAAATTAAACAGTATAAAATGTGTATCGATATGTTGTCCGAATATGCATTTTGGATAAAATCAGTATCGTGATTTTAGTTGGTAAAATATCACAGAAAGATAAATAAACCTAGGCTGCTTATAATTCACCAATTCAAACCAAAAAGGTCAATAGACAGCTCATTCAAAGAATAAAACTTGAAATCTTGTGGCTATCAAGCCAACTATTCAAATTAATCTAGTTAGGTTGCCTTAATCAACAATTACTATGTTTATGCATGTATAGGCAATTATGTAGATTTATTAATTGTACTTGTAAAGTTGTTATGTTGGACCAAATTAATGCTGAGTATAGTAGATGGACGATATTTATTACACTTTTGAACACTAAATTTAGGCAATATATGCATATGCTTTGCAATGTGAAATAGGATTATGACAATCTACCAACTATATATTGAATATTATAGCTATGGCTTGAAAGGAATATCCCACCTAAGAAATCAAGTGTGACTTCAAACTAGGACAACAGACTATGTTAATTGGTATTAAAGGGTACTTAGACATAGTAATTAATGTTGTGTGGGCAGACAAATGGTAACATCAAAGAAAATTTAAGCGAACATAGTTTTTTTTTTCTTTTGTTTTTTTCTATTTTTTTTTTTTTTTTTTTTTTGAAGAACAAGAGGGTTGACATCAAATTAACGGATTCTCCGGGTAGACGCTCCACCCATATCTGTCAGGAGAAAAGTGATTAAATCTTCCAGCGGGTTATCCCATAATGTTGTTTCCCAACCTCCTATTTGTCCCAAGTTGACAAGGAAATCAGCACATTTGTTACTTTCCAGCAGGCTGCAGGACATGCGTGACTCTAAGATGAGAGAACTTAGCAGCCAGAAACTTGCAGTCCAAGATTAAGAAGCTATGATCTTCATCATTGTCCAGATTATCCCTGAAAGCTTCCGTTACCGCTTTGGAGTCTAACTTCACAACGATCTTGTCCAAGCTTTTTTTGTGGTAGAGCGTAAACCTTCCCTTAGGCCCCATGGTTTTGCCATGAAACTATTAGTAAACCCAATCTTCACCGAGAACCCCCAGACCTAATCACCTTGATGGTTGCGAAGGGGACCACCGACGCTGGCTAACCCCGAGCTTCTCTTACAAGTGCCATCCGTGTTGAGTTTGAACCACCGATGTGATCTAGCTTGCCCCAGCAAACCCAACGAGACATGGCGTTAATTATCACTAACCACCTTTCTCACCACACTCGTCGCCTCCTTGACATGTTCCAGGGCTATACACACCACCACACTAGGGTAGCCAACAACAATCGTTAATCGAGCAGCTGCAATCGACTAATCAGTCCCTCAATTGTTGATGTAAGTGCTATTGACTCTTAAATTCTTATTAAGGTGTCGATTTTGGTTCCTCAACAACAAATATTGCTAAAGTCTATTACCTTTAATTTGCATCGCAAGTGCAAAGCATGTTAGTTATAGTTTTAAGGAGAAAGTGGAACCAAAATTGTCACTCCGCAAAAAGATAAACCAAAATTGTCATCTTGTCATACCTAGATGGTAAGAAGTTTGATTATTGCCAATACCATATCGATTGATGTCACCCCACAAGATCTTCCTTGTGTGATTTACCTCTCTTGTGTGATTAGCAAACTATTATATAGGAGTGGGTTAGTCCATATATACACACCCTCAGGTAATAGTTACAATTTGTACTCATCATCAATTTTCTTTTTCTGGGTATCTTATGAATAATAGTGGTAACCATTAAGAGAACGAAATCATTATTTCATATAAATATATAAAACTCTTAAGTCAATTAAAATATATCCCGTAATTTACTTTCTACACCCGTCTTTAGTAATTGTGAAAGACCTTAGCTTTTGAGGTTCAAACTTAAAAAACCAGAGTATATCCGGTTGTGGGAAGTAAAATGTATGATTTGTAAAAGTAGATTATTATTTGTTCCCTTTTCCATCTTAGTGCATTTCCGCCTGTAAGTAATTAAGACTGAAGCAGCAGTTATATCAAGTCAGAGCTGGCTGATAATTCCTGGCTGTATAAAGGGAAGCTTCAATCATGGCTGGCCCATCACCCAGACCCATTATCATCATCACATTCACCATTTTTTATCTACTAACTAATGTCCCAACATGTAATCCATATGCGTGAATTAAAAAATGTATTTCATCATAATTAAAATTTTGAATAATACATATATTTTGTTTCAATTAAAATTTGAACTGTATATTTATGTTTGTATAATATATATGTTCAACAGTATGAATGCTAGTGTAAATCTGTGTATAAAATTTTAAGCATATTTAATGTTAACAACAATTTTAATTTGATTCTTATGTTATGTTTATTATATTCTATCGATTATTATATCTTGTAAAAAATTCAATATTTTAAATTTAATCAAAATGAGACTCTTAACCCTTTTAGTGGATTATCAGAATTTCATTTTTTGAATGACAAATTATAAAAGTTCTATTAATGATTTTTTTTTTTTGGGAAGTTTTGTTAATGTTTTTTCATATAACATATATATGATATTTTAGACCAATTCATATTAATTGAATTTATGTGGCGATATTACAATGTAACAGAGTCAGTAATACTCAAAAAAATAAAAAAAGATTTACGTGACAGTTAACTTTTGTGTTGCCGGCAGGATTCGATCTGATCTGATCTAGTCACATCGACCATGAAGTCCAACATAACGTGTCAACAAATGCTTTCTTTTGCACTACGTTCTCATCACGCTTTGGTACAAAAGGGCAAAAGGCATTTCACTGTATGTTTCCATTATCTATGCCTTCAATATTTTATTTTAAAAAAAAATAAATTCAAACCAAATTGATCCCACGGTTAACTTAATAATCACAAAATTTCAATAGTAAATTATAAGTAAGTACAATTTAGATTGATTTACCTCATTGCAACCCTTTGTTGGTTAGGGTCATAAGGGCTTCACTAAAAACACACATTCTGATATGACAGAGGTTGCAGGTTTTCTCATAAATCAAAGACTTAAAAATAAAAGGAGTAAATTTTAGTTGTGATTCTCATGTTAGTTACGTCAAAGAGTCCGTACTGATATTTGAGTTTAAAGATTATATATATTATTCCATCTGGTAGGCTAGTTTTTTAGGACGAACTTTTCTCTTAGAGTTGAATACTTATCATTTGTATGACTTTCATTGAGAAGCGGTGTATGCGCGGTCAAAAGTATAAGTCGTCTAGAGTATATCACTGTGAATGTCAACTTCTCAAGAAGTGAATAGTGATATGATTTTACATCAGATATAAATTTTAAAAAAATAATAGAATATATAATATTTAAATTTGAGTGATTATGTAATGTATTGAATTACTTGTTTAGGTATGCTCTTCCACCTATCAGATTCATTGTACCCACATCTTGAAATCGACTTTGTTTAAATCTCACCCGCTAAGCATGCAATAATCATACAAGTTGTTTATTGTACGTAATTTAATTGTTAGCCTGTCACTATTAGCACATGATTGAAGTTTGTTAATTAGGTTATATATGTGACCCCCCAAAAAAACCTTAAACTTGGACAACAACATTATACTAATGATGGACTGTCAGTCCGGCAAGTGTTTGAATTGTGCTACAATCATTATTATTATCCAACAAATTAAATTAAAACACATCATCATTATTAGCAGTAAAGTGGTGGGCAAGGGTAACATTATCGGCACAACTAACATAACATTGCATGTTCAAAAAATAAAGTGTAGGGTAATTAATCATCAACGTAACCCCTCTTCCACTTCACGTTAAAGGAATAACAATTGCACATTTGACAGATTGCTAGATAGATAGCTTCATCTTCTTTTCACTAAGCTAGCTTGATGTGATTCCCTCTCATTACAAAACTGTGATCTTACTTGGTGAAGTGTAAATTGTAAATTAATTCACAAATAATTACATCCTCACAATAATAAATTATTTATTTTTTATTTAATGGTTTAAAAATTGGATTTATAATTTAATTGGTTTAAAAAAGTGGAATCGTCCACTCCAAGTGTCCCCACACACCGACCTAACAATTTATGGAGGGGTTAATTATGGTGACTCTTTTGCTCATTGTGCATGTAGAAGGAACCCCCCCCCCCCCCCCTCCCCCCCACCCCCTCCATTTTGAGAGATTGTTCCTACACTATAAATAAATTATTAACCTTTAATTTATAAAAGTGACATTTCTTGATTGTCAATTATAACACCGGCATTTTTCATTTCTAAATTATTGTGAAGTTTGTTTTTTTTTTTTTTTTTTTCGTCCTTCAATTGTCTTTAAATTTTTTTAACCCAACCTAACAACACTTGGGAGCGAAAAACTCACTTCGCAAACAATTAGGTTACAAAAATTGCAATGGTATAGTGAAGAGGCTAAAAGTGTTATTTTCTTATAATTTAGAGATGAAATTTGTCATATTTTTCTTTATTAAAACATCAATTAAACCATCTCATAGGGTTGAGCCCGCCGGTCACACATGGTCTTCCCGCTAGTACAATTAGCTCTTATATGTGATTTGCGGACTATTACAGGGAAGTAATGTTTACTCATTGCACACCCTTAAATATTAACTCCATGTTTCAATTCCCTCATCGATCACAAAAAAATGAATAAATAAAAAATCAAACTCAATAAACTCTAAATTAAATGTATATTCCAACATCTTAAAACAAGTATAATAAAGTTGATAGTGTTAATTGCCACGTAAGCGGTAATTAAATAAATACGAGACCAATTAAAGCAAGTAAATAACTCTTATTGATCACTGTGAAGTCCCTAAGTACAATCTAAATGGCTGCTCTGAGTATCGACTGACTGCGGTCGGGATTCTCTAACAACAACCTATCGATCGTCCAAAAGTCCCTCACATTGTCGCTACCGCGGGTATTTATAGCCGTGGAACCGGAGACACAAATCCGGCCGTTCGGCATGCTTCCCACGTAGCAACCACGTGTCAACGTCCCGGGTGCCCTGGCTGTCAATGCGTGGAGCCGCCACGTGTTCTTCGTCAGCTCTCTCGCTTAAGGGCTACCGCTCGGTGGTCAACACTGCCGCTCGGGTAACACCCGGTTGGACCCCGACTGGGTTCTTCACAAGAAACCCGACCTGTTACCTGCAAAGACAAGAAAAAAAGGACGAAGGCACACCGGTCGGGGTAACGCTATGTCGGTCGGGGTATTCCCTACCAAAAGTGTCCACAAAACACATATTAAGTACTCAATTAACTCAAAATAAGTTGCGACACGTTATTGTTGAGATTGATTGCCTAAATGTTTGCAACATCCTAAATTTGTCATCCCTTGATTTAACTTATGCAAGATGTATAATAGCAGAATGCCGTTTTCTTATAAGGCACGTACATTGATATAGTGTCCTTCCAGTTCATTCGCAGATCAACGAATTTATTGACTCACATTCTTACTAGAGCAACATATTCTGAAGCTGATTCTTCTATTCCTCAATATCCAACATTCTTTTCATCTAATATATGTTGGGTTTTTTTTTTTTTTTAAACTGAAAATAAGTCCATAAAAGATTGGATCTGATTTAATTTATTATTAATAATTAAAGCATTGTGATTGTGTTGGTAAAGAGTAGCTTCCACGATGGTCGTTGTTGGTGGTGATGACGATATCCCAACAAGTTAATATGTATCGTGAATTTTGACTGGGGACAATGTACCGTGTTTTCCTGCCCATCCTGGCCTGGGACTGTACTGTAAGGAATCATATTCACGCACGCTAAGCTCATCTCTCATTTCCTATATTCCAAACTTCACTAAAAAGGTATCACATAATGCTAGCTTCTGTCAGTCAAATCATACATTCCTAAGTTAACCTAACAGTGCACCCATCCACTAGGTAATACAAGTATTATTTTCATCAAGTTACGCACCGACTTTTGGTCTTGTCTATTGAATCATTGAGTCATCGTAATTTACACCATCTCAAATACTTTGTTGGACAGAGGTGTGGGTGACCTTTAGGATTGGAGATTCAATCTTTTGGAAGAAGAAGAAGATGTATTATATTTTCAATATTTGTGACAAATTTATTCTCGCATCGTTTAAAGTTATCTTCTATTCTTTACCTACCAATTTGTATATGTAAATCTAATTGAATGGTAATTGTTTTTATATCCTCATGTCGTTTAAAGCTATCTCGTATTTTTTACCTACCAATTTACATATTCAAGTCTAATTTGAATGCTTATCATTTTTAAACATACTTGAAAAAGTAGTTTTGATAGGGAAAATAAGAAATTAAACAAAATTATGAGATTAATTTATGGTTGAAAAGGTGATAATCACATGTTCTCTAAATTTTTGCTGTAATCAAACAAGTGGTTCGTGTCTGGAACAAAAGTACTGAACAACCTGCATGTGTTTTTTGTCGCCATCCCATTCATTAAAATATTGGTTTTCTAATAATAATAATAATAATAATAATTGAATATATATTTGATAGACCATAGAAGGAACTGTCAGAACATCCCACCGACAAACTCCATTAACAAATAACAAGTCAGTATGTCATGACGATCCTCCTCACTATTTATATCTAGTTCTCAACTTTTTTTTTTTCTTATTTGATACATTTTTTTTACTCTATGAACTCATGAGGCCCTTTGCTGGCCTAACAAAAAATTTTCAGTCCTAACTATCTACATTGGATTTTGACCCACTTAACACATTAAAAAAAAAAAAAAAAATCATTCCATAGTTAGAAGTTATGTTGTCCACAAAACTATGTGAAGGTAGCATTTTCTTATTTTGAAAATGCATATTTTCATGTTGTTTCTTAATTAAAAAATTTTTTTTAAAAAATTAATTATACGACATTTCGAAACCGTCATGTATGTGTAAAAAAAAAAAAAAAAAAAAAAAAACTTTCATAGTAACTATGTTCTGTCGTAATGTAAGGAGTTATTTTAAATTGTAATTAATAAAAAAATACAGAAACATCAAACATGTGAGTAGAATATTGTTTGCTATGTTTAATTTGTAGCAAAAATTGGACTGATGAGTGGTATTATTAATGAATTCCAGTAGTCATGAATAAGAGGAAAGGACAGGCCACAGACAAAACCATACATCAAATAAGCAAAACAATACATGAAAAATTTGTTCTCGCTCGTCGATCAGGGGGACAAGTCATCAGCAATGGAGGCTTCATTAATGGATTCAAACATTATTCTTGAGTTCTGTTCTCGAACCTGCGGCGAAACCTGGGAAGCGATTGAGCTATGCATGAAAAATGGCGGAGCGGAAGGCAATGGAAGACTGAGAGAAGAACCAGTAAGCATGAGAACAACTGTGGACATTGTTGGTCTGTCTCCAACGTTTTCTTGAACACAAAGCAACGCCATGTGTATGCATTTCATCATTTCTTGCACTGAACCTGATGAATTTCCTCTCAGAATGGGATCTACCAGATTCAGTGTTGTCCCTTCCCGCCACTGTGCCCAAGCCTGCATGCCACACAGTTTAATTTCATGATCATATCAGTGTCCAACCAATCAAACATATATATATATATGTTGTTTAATTTACACTTACATAGCTCAGAAGGTCTTGTTCAGATCTCCCATTTCTGGAACAGTTACTTTTCTGTCCGCTTATAATTTCTAGGACTAAAACTCCGAAACTAAAGGTATCAAATTTAACTGAAAATTGGCCGTGAAATGCATATTCAGGTGCCATGTATCCACTGCAAAAATTAAATTGTAACAAGAATTATCATGGTAATTTTTTGTACTCTTGATAAGAATGAAGGTTGTGTGAGTATATGAGGATATGATGCATTGATGCTTACTAAGTTCCCACAATTCTGCTTGTACTGCAGTGGCTTTCATCTAAGTCAAATAGTCTTGCCATGCCGAAGTCTGAGATTTTTGGGTTCATCTCTGCATTCAGTAGAACGTTGCTGGGTTTTAGGTCACGGTGAATGATACGAATGTTAGAATCCTCATGGAGATATAGAAGTCCTTTGGAAATGCCACTTATGATTTTATAGCGAGTATCCCAGTCCAAAAGTGCTCTCTTGACTGGATCTGTACATGGATATGGCCGGATTACAACATGAAAATTGAATGACAGATGAAATGTTTTGCTAAAGGAATATATTATAGATTTGAAAGAAAACTATACCAAATAAGAAATAGTCAAGACTGCCATTGGGAACAAATTCATATACAAGAAGCCTTTCTCTTTTGTTCAAGCAAAATCCAAGCAGCCTCACCAAATTTCTATGTTGAAGCTGGCCGACCAAAATGACTTCATTTCTAAATTCTCGATCACCTTGTCCCGAATTACGAGAAAGCCTTTTCACCGCTACGTCATGCCCATTTAATTTCCCCTGAATTGTTTAAGTTAAGAATTTGATATTCAATCATTAAGTTCAATCTCTTCATTGAAATGAATAACATTGTAAAGATTAATGATAAATTTACCTTGTAAACGGGACCAAATCCACCTTGTCCAATTCTATTAGAATTCGAGAAATTATTTGTAGCTTTTTTTATGGTACCAAAGTCGTATTTTAGGAACTCCACCACACTTACTTCATCCACAGCTTCACAGAATCAAATACGAAAATTATTATTAGTGATGCATTTCTAACAGTGAAGCAGTGAACTTCTTGTATCTTGGAATTGAACTTACAATCATTATCCTTCTTCTGCTTCCTCTTTTGTCTTTTTCTCAAGACAATAATGCTGATGCAGATAGTAAGGATGATAAATACAACAACAACAACAATAATAATAACAATTCGAATTGTATTATTGTTACTTTCTCCTGTAAAATAAAGTATTGAGTTACTTATGTAAATATATTTCTTAGCTCCTTAATGTAAATAATAATAATAATAATAATAATAATAATAATAATAATAATAATAATAATAAAACTAGCCAAGTTGTTTAATAGTTGACTTGATAACCACAAAACAACCGTTTGTCGGTTAGGATTACAAAGGCATATATGCTTCATCCAAAATGCATTTTTAGGTAGCAATTGAGGACTTGTTCGTTAAAAAAAATTACCTAATAGTGGTACCCGAACTCCAATCACTGTAAAAATAAAATTGTTGATTACTTGTATAAATATGAAATTCCATCTTGAAGTAACCAAAAAAAAAAAAAAAAAAAAAAAAAAAAAAAAAAAAGAAGAAGAAGAAGAAGAAAGACTGAAAGAAAGTCACCTGAGTTTTTTGGTGGAGAAGCTTCAATTACTGTAAAAAGTAAAATTTTGATTCATAAATATGAAATCCTGCTACCTTATTGTTATAATAATAATAATAATAATAATAATAATAATAATAATAATAATTATTATTATTATTATTATTATTATTATTATTATTATTATTATTATTATTATTATTATTATTATTATATAAAAAAGAAGCTCGAAAGTACCTGATTTTGGTGGTAGAGCTGTAATCACTGCAAAATAAAGTTTTGAAGTACTTATTATTTGTGTGTAATATAATATTGCCTTAAAAAGAGTAAAACCCCAAAAAGTCACCTGATTTTGGTGGTTGAGCTATCACTGCAAAATAATAATAAAAAATAAATAAATAAATAAATAAATAAATAAATAAATAAATAAATATATATATATATATATATATATATATATATATATATATATATATATATATATATATATATATATATATATATATATATATATATATATATATATATATAATCAAAACACTTAAACACATAATACTACTTTAAATAACCAACACTTAAAAAAAAAAAAAAAAAATTACCCGATTGTGGTGGTGGTGGTGGTGGAGCTTCAGATACTGTAAAATAAAGTTTTAAATCACTTAAGTGAATATGTAATACTAGCTTAAAGTTTAAAAAAAAATTAAAAAAAAAAATCTTAAATTCACCTGATTTTGGTGGTGAAGCTTTAATTTCTGCAAAATAAAGTTAGGAATTCCTTATTAGTTATTACCTGTATGTAATAATGCCTTAAAAAGGGGAGAAAAACTCAAAAAGTCTCATGATTTTGGTGGCAGAGCTATCATGCACCACAAAATAAAGTTTCGAAATACTTATTTAAACATGTAATACTACTGAGTTGGATAAAAGGAAGGAGCTGGCGGAAAGTCCTGTTGGAGACCGATGCCCAGGTTGTGACGAGAGCAGTCAGTAGTGGAATAAATATGTCGCCTTTGGGCTATATTGTTGAAGAGATCCGCAATTTTCTATGTCAAATGCCCATGGTTTCCTTTCGGTATGTGAAGCGAAGTAACAATATGATGGCTCACTGCTTGGCGAAAAGAGCTCTTAGCTATACGAGGGAGGACAGAATTGAGTGTTTTAATTAAATTCCACGTTTTCTGGGTGGCTCCCTTTGTAACAGGCTAACAACTAAATTTTTTGAAGTTTAATATATATGTTGTTTTGTTGGGTTTCAAAACATGCAATACTACTTACTTTAAACTTTAATTAAAGCAACATAACCAAATAATATTTAACAAATCCAAAAAAGTTACCTGATTTTGGTGGTCAACTCTCCACTATAGTAAAATAAAATTAAGTAAATATGAAATACTACCTTAAGAGGCTGTTTGGTACTTTTGCATTAATTAAATTCCTAAAAAAAATGTTTTCAAAGAATATATTTGATGGGAATAAATTTACAGATAAAACTAATTAACATATTTGGTGTTATTTAGAAACATAACAATCAAATTACTTTAACATGCTTGGTTCGTTTAAACTTTCTCAATAAATTTTTTATAATCTCTAATATATCCTTGCTATATACAAATTTTTTTTATAAAAAAAATAACAAATAATCAAGAGTTTAATAAATTACTTGTAAATTAATAAATTATATGCTACAAAATCACAAAGTCATCAGATTCATTAAGTACCTAAAAATTAAAGTCAACTTAATCAATAAATAAATAAATAAATAAATATATATATATATATATATATATATATATATATATATATATAAAGTATTGCATACATAAATATACACACACTAGTACTGCATCATTACTTAATGTGTCATATTACAAATTAGATTACATCAAACTTTAACTACTTGGATGTAAATTTCTTTAATAAACAATGTGCAATGATGAGAGAGATTTTTTTTTCTTTTATTTATAAGAAACTTTTAACCTGACGCCAAAAAGGATACATATATAATTGAATAAATCCGGTAGATTCCTAGCCATCCAAAAAAAACAATCCTACTTTCACTAAGTAAAATTTACTTTCCTTGATATTATTGAATGTGATTCCCATTAACTCAAATTTTCATAATTAAGCCAAAGATTGCACCAAATATGAGAATAGTTTTCACACCTGTTAAATTTGCTGGAAAGTTTAATCTTTCCTTGCTATCGAACGCTCTCTAAATGTAAAATAAAATAACTTTAAATTCACCTGATTTTGGTGGTAGAGCTTTAAGCACTGCGAAATCAAGTTCTGATTCATCACTTATGGAGTACTTATTTAAATAGTAGTTGTGTGTAACCGGCAAGTCCATTGATTTTGGTGGTAGAGCAATCGATATCACTGCAAAATAAAATTTTGAAAAATTTATTTAAACATGTAATACTACTTTAATGTAATAAAAAAATATTTAAAAATTCAAAAAATTAAGTACATACATGATTTTGGTGGTGAAGCTCGCTTCAATTACTGGAAAACAAATTTTTGAACTACTTAACTAAAATTCACTTGATTTTATTGTAAAGTTACCTGATATCGGTGGTGTAGCTTCAATCATAACCTTGTTATAATCGAAGAAGCTATAATTCTCGTAGCGCAAATTGCAGCTTGGCCTTATTATTCCGCCCCTTCTCTTGCCATGGCAGGGACATTTACGCAAATCTCCGAAAGCAGAAGTCAAGCAATCAGAGCAATCTTTAGCAGACAACTCAGGGGAGCACTGCACAGCCGCATATATGGTCTGCAACTCCGGTCCGGTCGTCTTGTCGGCTGCAAACTTCAGAAAAGCGCCGCCATTTGCAGCACGGTTTCGCAGACCATCCAGCAAGTTCCTTAAATCTTCATTAAACCGGTCCGGGCTCGAGGCATTTATTGATCCATTCAACGAATCAATGTAGAAGTAGAACTGAGGAAACCTTGACCAGGAACCTACGGTGGATTCATTCGAGTATCGAATCATGCACTCATCGTACCCTCCGAATGCCCCCTTCTCCTTAGGACACACTTTTACCATCTTCCTAGCTGCGTTATCAACACAACTGCGACATTTTTGGGGCTCGACGCCGCCTCTGCACAGGGCAGTGACACTCGTCCTGTCGGGATTTTGGCCTTCGGAAGCGTTGTAGAATCCATGTTCGTTGACTTTAGACGAGATTGAGGAAAGAAGAATGTTAAGGTTGTGGCGGTAGGTGCTGTTGTGTTGGTAGTTTCCAGTTTGGCCGCATAACGAGTACCGGAGCTTAGGCTGTGCGGCTGCTAAGAGGGTGATGCTAGAAAGGTGTAGGAAAACAAGCCATTTCTGGAAATCCATGCAGGCTTGATATTCAGATCAGCTATGATTCTCAGATCATCAGACCAATTCTATATGATGAGCCAAATTAAAGTTTCAAGAGAATAACATGAATTATTAATATATGACTATAAAACTGAGTTTCGAATCAAACAAAGAACTGAAGAAGGCAATAGACAAATTCCATGGGAATTGAAATTTCTGTAATTACTATCCGGGAGTGTCCATTAATCCTGCCTTGTGACTCTAGCAACAATGGATTAAGGTAAATTAGTTTGGATTGCTCTAAGTTTAATTGGTTCAAACTAATTAAAAAGGTTAATAAGTTGCTCTTGAGAGAAGTCAATTCAAACTTGTAATAATCTGTGATTATTAAGTTAACAGTCTAATTAATTTGGTTTGGTTATGTTGCCCTATAAGTATGGTGAAATCACGGACACGTATCTTTCCGGGGTTCCTTAGTCTACTGTAATTTCAAAATCTTGAAAAATTATCGTCAATTAACGTTTGGAAAACGATAAAATTCCCCGGAAACTGTATAAAAATTGTTGTTTTCACTCCTAAAATCACTCCCTAATTTTCAGTTTTCAATTTAATATTGTTTGACTTGAAAAAGGAAAAAATTTCTAACCCAAAAAATGCTTAACATTATTGTTTGACTTGAAAAAGGAAAAAATTTCTAACCCAAAAAATGCTTAACATTATTGTTTGACTTGAAAAAGGAAAAAAATTTCTAACCCAAAAAATGCATAACATAAGACTTGAAAAAAAAAATTACTATTCTTTTTTTTTGGTGAGTAAAGAGAAGCTAAAGAGCCCCAGAGATTTAAGAAAGTCTTTGCGGTGCCACACTGTTGGCATCCCGAGCAAGAAGCGTGCTCATATCAGAAGGTGGGAGATCAAGCAAAGAAGTCCCCCAAGAAAAGCTGTGTCCCAAGTTGGCCAAATAGTCCGCACATTGATTTCCCTCCCGAAGGACATGGCGGAGATCGCAGTCTTGAAACTCTTCCATCAATGACTTGCAGTCGAGGACCAAGGTGCCAGCTTCCGGAGTGAGGTCCGAAGCATTGTGTAATGCACGAACCAAGGCTTCTTAGTCAGATTCCGCTATGAGACTAGTAGTACCGTAGTCTTTGGCCATGATTAGCCCCTCCCGGAGACCCCAGAGTTCTGCCATGAAGCTGCTCGTTACTCCTATCTTGGAGGAAAAGCCCCTAATCCAGTTGCCAAGGTGATCGCGGAGAATCCCACCTGTGCTAGCCAAACCCGAGAGATATTTTTTTGAACCATCCGTATTCAACTTAAGTGACCCCGGAGGCGGAGGAGGCTAGTAAACCCACGTGAGCTTCGCTGGCAAAGGACCCCTATGCTGGCAAAAAATTACTATTCTTAATTGATAACAATATCCATCCTCACTTTACATATCACGTCGTCAGTGAGATTCCTTTTCAAGGGTGCACCGCTAATCAACTTGATCTTTTGGGAAGGGTTTGAGCGCAAACATACTTGTTGAAATTACTATGCCTAAATGGGCGAAGTTAATTAGATGAAATTCTGGTGAAGACCTGCAACAAATACTAACATTATATTCGTTTGACTTGGGTATAGCAACATTACTAAGCCACTCGGTTCAGAAGAGTCGAACCTGAAATCTTATGATTACCAACTCAGGTAGAGTTACCGGTCAAAAGTTAGGTATAACTATTTAATTTATAGATATAACTGGATTGTTGAAATCACAGCCAATTCAAAAGGTAGCAAATGCATACTACACCAATGGTTTTATCCACTAATCCAGTTAAGTCAAGCCATAAACAGTAAATATTTTTTAACAAACCATTTTCTACAGCGAACAAGGAAACTAGCTAGCTCGATCATATCATGAGAAAATGGACGACATGATCGATGATTTCATCTGGGATATAACTCAATAGTGGAGGCATCATTCTGCGATGAATAAGCAGTTTCATTTAGCAGCAGCGGAGCCTCAGGACTGATAGTACTGTGCATGAAGAATGGCGGGGCAGATGGCAGTGGTAGACTCAGAGAAGAACCACTAAGCATGAGAAGAATTGTAGACATTGTTGGCCTGTCTCCAACATTTTCTTGAACACAAAGCAATGCCATGTGTATGCATCTCAGAATTTCACGCACTGATCCTGAATTGCCTCGAAGAAAGGGATCTACCAGATTCAATGTTGTCCCTTCCCGCCACTGTGTCCAAGCCTGCACTCACAATTTTGATCATCATATCAGTCCCAATTAACTAATCAGACATATATGCTGGCCTGGCAAATATAGTTTTATACACATGTTGTTTATATTTATACTTACGTAGCTCAGAAGGTCTTGGACAGATTCTCCGTTTTTGAAACAGTTATTCTTTTGCCCACTTACAATTTCCAGGACTAACACCCCAAAACTGAAAACATCTGATTTAATTGAAAATTGACCGTGCATTACATATTCTGGTGCCATGTATCCACTGCATATATAAATACCTCAAAATAAGAATTGTCAGTCAACTCGATCAATTATTGTTCAAAATGAAGGTGATATGCATATATGAGCTTACTAAGTTCCCACAATTCTGCTTGTATTGCCTTCGCTCTCATCTAATTCAAACAACCTTGCCATGCCAAAGTCTGAGATCTTTGGGTTCATCTCTGCGTCTAGTAGAACATTACTTGCTTTGAGATCACGATGAATAATACGAAGGCGAGAGTCTTCATGGAGATAAAGAAGACCTTTGGAAATGCCGCCTATGATTTTATACCGTGTCTTCCAATCCAAATTTTCTCTTTTAACAGGGTCTACAAGTGGATTACAACATCAAAATTGAATGACATAATAAGAGATTTTATAAAGAGAATCACAAAGATGAAAGAAAACAATATACCAAATAAAGAGTGGTCAAGGCTAGCATTTGGAACAAATTCATATACAAGAAGCCTTTCTCTCCCTTCCAAGCAAAACCCAAGCAGCCTAACCAAATTTCTATGTTGAAGCTTGGCAACCAAAAGGACCTCATTTTTAAATTCTAGATCACCTTGTCCTGAATTAGCAGAAAGTCTTTTTACTGCTATTTCTTGTCCGTTTGGGAGTTCTCCCTAAACATAATCATTCAGTTCTAGTCATAAGAAACAGTTATACTGAATCATTAAAATGAATGGCAGCTAGCAATGTAAAGGGTAATGAACAATTTACTTTGTAAACAGGACCAAATCCACCTTGTCCAAGCTTGTTAGAATCGGAGAAATTGTTTGTAGCAGTTCTTATAGTACCAAAGTTGTATTGTAGGGACTCCACAGTACTAATGTCATCCACGGTGCTAATTTCTTCCACAACTTCACAGATCAGAACAAATATGAACAATATTAGTTGTGTACCCAACATAAACTTCTAGGTGGGCTAGAGTAAAATGATTTGACGAAGTGAAATGGACAAATAAAAATATTGCATAGGCTGCAGTCCAAATCGTTATCATGGAGAATCGAACTTGAATTTTATAGTTATTAAGCTAAGTTAACTGTAGGATAAACTTGATTGGAATTACCCTAAATCCTTTTGTTTCTAACTGGATGGAACTTGGTATTTTTTAAACCCAAACCCCCATCGACCAATATAATTGACACAATATTTTGGTAAGAAAACGTAATTGGTGCTACAAGTCAAATGTATGTGAACGTTACCCTCCATGTCCTCCGGCTTTCTTTTGTGCCTTTTCTTCAAGACAATTACCCAAATGCATAGAGTAAGAATAATTATAATTGCTACAACCGGAATTACAATAATGATTACAGTTCGAACTGTATTGTCCTTTTCTCCTGTAAAATAAATTTCTCGAATTAGTTATGCATATATGTGAATACCTTGTTAAATTAATTAAAAATAAAAGCATAAGTAATTGAAAAATCACCTAGTTTTGACGACGGTGGAGTTTCAATCACTGTAAAATAAGATCTTGATTAATTATGTAAATTATAAACTTAAAAAAAAAAAAAAAAAAAAAAAAAACACTAAAAGTGGCCCAATTTTGGTGACTAGGGAAACTCTGCGGGCATCCATTATCTAAGGGTGTGCACTGAAAATGCGAAGAGTAAACCAGTCTAGCTAATTGACTTAAACCGAGAAGACCAATAGACCACTCTCGATGAGAATAGAACTTGTAACTTTATGGTTGCCAAATCAACCGTTTGACTAACTTGACAAGAGTTACGTTGCCTCCACAAAATAAAACATTTTTTTAGATGATGAGGGAGCTAAATATAAACCAGTTTAAATCAAGAAAACCAATAGACATCAAATTTGTAACATTATGGTTACCAAATCAACTGACCAACTTGACTAGGGTTGCCTCCAACAATTAAGCTTTTGATTATTTATGTAGATATATATGCATGTAAAGTGTAAAGTAACAAAAATAGAATGTGACCTGGGGATGGTGGAGATCCAATCAAAGTATAATTGAAGAAACGTTCAGTCTCAAAGCGAAAATTGCAGCTAGGCCTTATAACTCTCCCCCCTTTCTTGACAGTGCATGAGCCACATCCATTTAAATCAGCAAAAGCAGAAACCAAGCAATCAGAGCAACCTTGAACAGACAAGTCAGGGGAGCACTGCACAGCCGCATATATGGTCTGGAAGGCCGGTCCAGATGTATTCCCCGCCGCAAACTTCCGTAATGGGAAACCATTTGCAGCAAGGTCTCGTAGACTCTCCAGCAATTTTTGTAAATCTTTATTGAACTCTTCTGGGCTCGAGGAATTCTGTACATTCCACAAGTACTTCTCAGGAAACGTTGATGACCAGGAACCCAGGGTGGAAACGTTGTTGTAATGGATCATGCACTCGTCGTACCCTCCGAATCCCTCCTTCTGATTGGGACACGATTGTACCATCTTCCGACCTGCGTTGTCAACGCAACTACGACATATGTCCGGCTCAACGTCACCTCTGCACAGCGCAACGGCGCTCACCCTGTCGGGAGTTTCGCCCATGGAAGCATTAGAGAATCCATATTGGTTGAGTTTAGACGATAGGGACGAAAGAAGCGTAGTGTTAAGGTTGCTCTGGTAGATGCTATTTTGTGTGTAATTTCCGGTTTCCCCGCATAAGGAGTAGAGTAGCTCGGGCTGTGCTATTGCTAACAGGATGATACAAGAAAAATAACATACGAAAACCAGCCATTTCTGGAAACCCATGGCTTAGCTTCAAACTCAGAGAAAATATATGATCACAGACACAGATGAAAGTAACCAAAGTTTCAACTGTACTGAACATGATTCAATCACATATGAATATAAAACTCATCCGGTTAATGACCATGTTTGGTAAAATAGTTAGCCTCAACCAATCTTGACTTATTTGACCACTATTAACCGTTTGACTGGGTTAAACAATTGAGTGTTTGATTAATTAGCTTTTTGTAATAATTTATTGTTCCAAAATGCTAAAATTCAAATTCAATCAGATTTTTTAAAAAATCATTTTGTATGTAATCAACTAACATTTAACCGTCAATTTATCAAATACTTTTCTACAAATTACTAATGTTATCAACTAGTCAAATATACTAACTTAATCAACTAACAGTTTACCAAACATCCCCAATATCTTAGAATAGGTGCACTGACAAAGACGGGAGTTAAACTACTTATTATGGTTCAAATCAGACAGACACAAATGTCCTATAAAAAACAGTCAAATATGAAGGGCGGCACGCGCAGTACGTATTCCGACACGGAAAACTGAAAGATGGATGGTCATGCAAATAATAAACTCCAAGCATGCAATAGCCATACATTTTAATTTTCCCTTTTCCTCATCTTTTCTCTCTTCATGTTGGCTTGCAAAAATTGAGAAAAAATAAAAAACAAACACTCTTAAAATTGCTCTAAAGTCTTACCTTACGCGAACAAAATTAATCTGTGTATAGTCATACTGTACCATAACCAAAGAAACTTATCATTGTGCACAAAAATAATTAGTCAATAGATTTATAATTATATATGCGAAAGACTTTGGTGTCCATATACCAACAAAGGAACTAGGATGGACACTTTTCAAGTTTTTGAGTTCTAATAATTTGATACGACTCAAATCCTCTAATTCTTTTCATTTTTAAAATGATAAGACACATAAAAAGTTACCTCCATTTTTATGTTTAATTATATGATGTATAATTTACTATGGAGTAATATTTTTTACAAAGTAAATTATACATCATATAATTAAAAATAGTTTGCATCATATAGAAGGATCCTTTAATAACCCAACTTAATAGCTCTCGGCAATTCTAACAACATTTTTTTTAAAACTTTCAATTAGACTAGCTAAACAAAGTCATAATAATGATGAAAATTATTACAACTAGTCAAAAGTAAATATTCAATCTTTTAGAATTATAATATATATTATCAATGAATATCTCCAGCGTATAATTAGTAAATATGTCAACTATAATTATGTACCTGATCAAGGTGGAAGGGTGTTGACTTTGATTTAGTCTTCGCCCCTTAACAGCCAGATGAAAATTATTACTTCTAATTTAACTGAAAGTAAATAAACAATTTAATCGATTACAATTATATTATTAATTGTCAATAAATATCTCCAACATATAATTAAATAAAGAATGAGTTATTGTCAACCCCTTTAAGTCGAGCCCATCGATCACATAGAGTGTTCTTAGTATGGTTACTTCTCTTGTGCGGTTTACGAGCTACTACACAGAAGCGAGATTTACTCATGTATACCGGCCCTCAAGTAGTGGTTACTAATTAACTTTTCTTGTCACCCAAAAATAAAAAATAATTCTTTTGTGGACGTATAATATTTTGTAACTGAAACATAATATTTTTCTTTTAATGTATATCAAAAAAGTAATAAAAACAGTTACGTCGTCGTAATTAATAAGTGTTATACATTTCACGTGGGATCGTCTTACAAAAAACTTATTTATTAATAAAGACTTATTCAACTATACAGATGTACCTCAAATTAAAGTGGAAGGTTGGATGGACTTAGTTTCGATCCTTGCCGATTAACAAGTCAGATGAAAAATATTACTTCTAATCAAAAGTAAATATACAATTTATTACAATTATATAATATTAATTGTCATGAATATCTCTATCATATAACTAATAATTAAATATGTCAACTATACTGGCCAATGTTAGCGTGATGCATTAATACCAGGTCCATCCCTTCCCTTTTATCAAAAATTATACCAGTGGATGTACCCAAGGGCTCAAGATGAAAGGGCGTTGACTCTTAGCCTCTGGCCATGGAGGTGAAGAAGTATTTTTGTCTTCTGGGAAGATGAAGTTTTTTCTTTTTTTCTTTCTTTCTAAAAATATATATAATTATTATTTTATTTAAAATTAGTTTTAAAAAATACTTTAGAATTGGATAACCTATTAGAAATTAGGAAAATTGACAAATTGTAGGAATGACATGAAATTGGTAAGTTTAAAGATATAATTATAGTTTTTTTTTAGGTTCAGTAACCTAATTATACTATCAAGTACAGTTCGGTGACATGTTTGATCTTTATTCTTAATATTCTTCAATAAGGAAGTTGGATCATGAGGCCGGAGGTCGAAAATGGATGGATTTCATCTGGGGTGTAACTCAGTAATGGAGGCCTCATTTTGAGACGATGAATAAGCTGCTGCTGCTGCTTCATTAAGCAGCAGGGGAGCCTCAGGGCTTATAGTACTGTGCATGAAGAATGCTGGTGCGGATGGCAATGGAAGACTCAGAGAAGAACTACTTAGTACGAGAACAACTGTGGACATTGTTGGTCTGTCTGCAACATTTTCTTGAACACACAGCAACCCCATGTGTATGCATCTCATTATTTCAGGCACTGAACCTGAATTTCCTCGAAGAAAGGGATCTACCAGATTCAATGCTGTCCCTCCCCGCCACTGTGTCCAAGCCTGTACTCACAGTATATATGCAGTTTAATCTCATTAATTAGTGCATGCCCAACTAACCAAACATTGCTTTACATATATGTAATATATATGCACTTACATAGCTCAGAAGGTCTTGAACAGATTCCCCGTTTTTGAAACAATTATTCTTTTGTCCACTTAAAATTTCTAAGACCAACACTCCAAAACTAAACACATCAGATTTAACTGAAAATTGGCCGTGCATTGCATACTCCGGTGCCATATATCCACTGCATATATACATATGCCAAATTAGGAATTATAGTCATAGGGCATTGCCTCAATTAATTAATGATCTAAATATATATGTATATATGATGCAATGCTTACTAAGTTCCCACAATTCTGCTTGTACTGCCTTGGCTTTCATCTACTTCAAACAGCCTCGCCATGCCAAAGTCTGAAATTTTTGGATTCATCTCTGCATCCAGTAGAACATTGCTTGCTTTGAGATCACGATGAATGATGCGAAAACGAGAGTCCTCATGGAGGTAAAGAAGCCCCTTGGAAATGCCACCTATGATTTTATAACGCGTTTCCCAATCCAAAATTTCTCTTTTGATAGGGTCTACAAGGTCGCATGCAACATCAAATTTGAATGACAGAATTGAAGAAGAATTTTATAAGGAGAATCACATAGATGAAAGAAAATAATACCAAATAACAAGTGGTCAAGGCTAGCATTGGGAACAAATTCATATACAAGAAGCCTTTCTCTCCCTTCCAAGCAAAACCCAAGCAACCTCACCAAATTTCTGTGCTGGAGCTTGACTACCAAAAGGACTTCATTTTTGAATTCTTGATCACCTTGCTTAGAATTACCAGAAAGCCTTTTCACCGCTACTTCTTGCCCGTTTGGAAGTTCACCCTAAATCATATCACGCAAGGCACATTCATTTTGTTATTGTTAGTAAGAAACAAATTAAACACATTTATATTGAATAGCTAAAATGAATGGCAACTTTTAATAAAAATTTTACCTTGTAAACAGGACCAAATCCACCTTGTCCAAGTTTATTAGATTCTGAAAAATTATTTGTAGCCGTTCTTATAGTAACAAAACTGTATTGTAGAGACTCTACAATACTAATTTCATCCACGGTACTACTTTTGTCCACGACTTCTCAAAATCAAATAAAAAAAAAAAATGTTAGTGGTGGGTATCCAACCTAAACTAGTAGGTATTTTCAAAAAAAAAAAAAAAAAAAAAAAAAAAAACCTAAACTAGTAGGTGGACTAGAGTAAAATAAATGGACGAAGTGAAGTGGCCAAATAATAATTGCATCAATCCTTATATGTGGAGAATCAATTATGCACATTGTGAAATTCAATTTAGATTATGTTTATAGTTAATATATTATACTATCGGTTAATGTATATTATTATATTTATTATAGGTAAATAATTTAGACCCGCATATACCTAACTTATTAATTAAAAATACATCATATATTAATTGTATATACGATATAGATACGGTTGAAATCGCAAAGGTGGGTCCAGGGATAAAAACGTAAAATGGTGCGACGAGTCAAATGGATATATATATCATATATGTGAAAGTTACCGTCCATTTCTTTGTTCTCCGGCATCCTCTTTTGCCTTTTCTTCAAGACAATGCAAACGCATAGACTAAGAAGAATAACAATTGCTACAACCACGACAGCCGCAATAATGATTATAGTTCGACTAGTATTGTCATTTTTTTCTGAAAAAAACAAACTTTATGAATTACTTATGTGAATATGTAGCTAGGTACTATGTTAAAGTAATCGACAAAAAATATGGGAAAGTTACCTGATTTCTGTGGTGGAGAAGCAATCACTACAAAATAATTAAAGATCTCAATTACTTCAACCTCGTTACAGTCAGCGTAAAAATCTTGATTACTTTATGTAAATATAAAATACGGCAAAACAAAACAATAATTACCTGGTTTTGGTGATGGAGCTTTAATGGCGGCTACAAAATAAAGCTTTGGATTAGTCTATGTTGTAAAAATTCGTCTAGGCGGCTACCTAAATATTCCTAGACTGAGGCGATTTCAGTCCTAGAAGGCTTTTAGTGAGAGGGTCGACTTGGCGTTCTAGGTGCCTAACTCGAATAAGTTGGGTGCCTAACTTGGCTGAGTCGGTGTCCAACTCAACCGAGTTCAGAGTGATTTTTTTTGCATACTCAGTTACTCATCTTCTATATTCCTGCAGGCTCCAACTATGTGCTCAGATCAACTAACTATCTAACTTACAATCTAACAACTCCCAACCCTGACGGGAAAAAATACCCCAATTACTAAACAGCCTAGATGCTCTAAGTACTAGGCGCCCGACTAAGACCTAATGCCTTCGGCAACATTACTTAAAGCTAACAAATAAAAATAAATGGAAACACAGAATGCATGTCACCTGGTGGTGGTAGTGGTGGTGGTGATGGAGTTTCGACCAAAGTATAATTGAAGAATTTATAGGTCTCAAACCGAAAATTGCAGGTAGCACTGAGTACTATAGACCCTCGCCTACCATAGCACGGACATTGAGGCAGTTTTTCAATAATACTAACCAAGCAATCAGAGCAACCTTGAGCAGCCAACTCAGGTGAGCACTGCACAGCTGCATATATGGTCTCAGAGTCCGGCCCAGATATATTCCCTGCCGCAAACTTAAGCAACGGGCTACCATTTGCAGCACGATCTCGTAGACCCTCCAGCAATTTCCACACATCTTTCTTAAACTCGTCTTGGTTCGAAGCATTATATCTATTCCTCAAGAAAACTGGAGGACTACTGGAATACCAGTTTCCTAGGGTGGGCGCGTCGGAGTATCGGATCTTGCACTTATCGTACCCTCCAAATGCCTCTATCTGATTCGGGCAATTCTGTAGCGTCAACCTAGCGGCATCTTCAATGCAACTGCGACATATGTCGGCCTCAACGACGTCGCCGCGGCATACCCCCACCGCATTCACTCTGTTGGGGGTTTTGCCCATGGAAACGTAGCAGAATCCATATTTATTGAGTTTAGACGGGAGGGAGGAGAGAAGTGAGTTAAGGTTTGTTCCGTAGATGCTGTTTTCTGTGTAGTTTCCAGTTAGGCCGCAGGATGCGTACGGGTGGTCATCGGACTGTGCTACCGCTGACAGGATGATGAAAGTAGAAAGGTATAGGAAAACCACACATTTCTGCAAATCCATATATGCGTGCCTTCAAACTCACAAATTAAATAATATATATGCTGTATGTTTTGGCCGGATTAATAGAGTTATACACTCATTTTACTCTGATCTGGGAACTGGGGAACAAGTAGTGGATGCCCAATTGGGCATCATGGAGATAACTTTTACCTTTATTCTCAAAAAAAAAAAAAAAAAAAACCTTTACCTTTTTGCATTGGATGCCCAATTGGCCAGCTGGTTAAGGACTGAGTGACTGACAATGGGCGTTGACTAGTGGTCTTCGTCTTTTGGTCGCTGCCTAGAGTATTACATGCTCTAATCGACAAATCTAGCTGAAAAGCTATAAGTTAGGAGCTGAAAGTTGAAAGCTTAAAAGTTATAAACTAGGAGCTGAAAACTGAAGAGCTGTTAAAGGTAGCCGTTATGATTGAAAGTGTTTGGTAAAATTAGCTTTTTGATAAGTTGATAAATGTAAAAAGACTAAAAATGACATTTTCAAAAAATTTAAAGTAGTTTGTTTACATATTAAAATTAACTTTTGTCTTAAAAAAAATTAACATTTTGAAATAAAACTATTAGTATAACCATGATCTAGCATCTCATAATGAAGTAGCAATATTGTTGCGAATCTCCTTCATCCCATAATAATAATAATAATAATAATAATAATTACGGTGAAAGTTGATAAAGGATAAGAGAAAATGATTTTAATTGAGAAAGGTAAAGTATGTCATTTCTTTAAAATAATAAGGACAAAGATGAAAAAAAAAAAAAAAAAAAAAAAAAAGAGTTAGGAAGCTAGTAGCTTATTTTGAAACGCTATCTAAGGTCTCTGTTTGGCAACACTAAGCTAGGAGCTTATAGCTTATTTTAAGCTACTAATAAGCTATAAGCTTTGTTTGGTAATGTTCCCAAAATAAGCTCCTAGCTTAAAATAAGAGCTTATTTTGGAACGCTACTTTAGGTAGCGTTTCAAAATAAACTACTAGCTTCCTAACTTTTTTTTTCATATTTACCCTTATTATTTTAAAGTAATGACATATTTTAACCTCATGAATTAAAACCCTTTCTCTTCCCCTATCCCAACTTTCACGTCAATCCCTTCATCTTATTATTATTATTATTATTATTATTATTATTATTATTATTAATGTTATTTTTAAATTAGCAATATGGCTTCAACCAATGACAATATTGGTATTTCATTATGGGATGCTAGATCATGATCATGCTAATAGCTTTATTTTAAAAAATATTTACTTTTTTGGAAGATGAACTGTTAAATTTTAATATGTAAACAAACTAATTTAAATTTTATGAAGATGTCCTTTTTAGTCTTTTTACATTTATCAGCTTATCAAAAAGCTAATTTTACCAAACACTTTCAATCATAACAGCTAGCTTAACACCTCTTCAATTTTCAGCTCCGAGCTTATAGCTTTTTAGCTTTCAGCTCCTTTTCAGCTATCAGCTCCTAGCTTATAGCTTTTGAGCTAGGTTTGCCAAACAGAGCCAAGGTAGTAGCGTTCCAAAATAAGCTCTTATTTTATGCTAGGAGCTTATTTTGGGAACATTACCAAACAGAGCTTATTAATAAGCTATAAGCTCCTAAATAAGCTCTGCAAAACATTGTCACATGTATTTCCAAATCTTACTCATTCTAATTTTACTTCTTGATAAGAGTTTACATCAATATTTTGTGTGTGGAGTAAAAATTGAAACTATTTAGACCTTACTATTATTACTAGTTTTTTTTACACGCATTGCGTGAATGGAATAATGCTCAATAATTATTTTTAAATAAGTACTTCAAATATATCAATGCAATATTATATAGGAGATGTTCTTGCATAGGTAATTGAATGTTGAATTTGTTTGAAGTATATAAATGCAAGATAATATATGAGAGAATGATTATAATTGTCACTAAAATAAATGTTTACAATTTTGTAATAATAACGCTAGTCTAAATACTTAGTCTAAAAGCGATAGTATAAATAAATACGGAGTACTACTTTTGATTTAAATTTATCTAAGTATTCTTAATTTTCCTTTGGGTTGCATTATCATTGTCTTCATCTTCAGTACATGTCATGTCCTCTCTTTTTTTATTGGTAGTATGTCAAGTGCAATTGAGTTACGGTGCTAGCATAGAGGGCATCATCATGCAATGAGATTATGGTGTTGAAAGTTTTAGATTTTTCTTGTATATGACTAAGATCTTAGTTGTACTATAAACTCTTTATCTTACAAGTGCATATTGATATTTGGTAGTGGTGAATTTTCCCTACATATTTCATGTGTTGTGAGATCCGTGTAATAGATTATCATGTCAAAGTATTGAACAAAATATTAATATTTATTATATTTCAAAAAAAAATACTTAGTAAATAAATATATAACATATTTTGTATTATAACTTTGATATTTAATTACAAGATAATGTAAAAAGAAGACAATGCTCAATGTAGTGAATATAATTAATAGATGTTGTTATAATGATATAATAAAAATTAACTTACAAATTTTTTTATAAGCTTTCATACATTGATAAAATTCTAAGAATGATGTGTAAACTTGTTCAATTTGAGCCAGTGAGATGTAACATTGTCAATTTTTTAGAAAATTGTCCTATCGTTTTAGAGTCCTAGTGTAATTGTATTTCTGATTAACAACTTTGTAATTAGGTCGCACATGTCTGACAATGGTACGGTGTAAGAACAATTTTGTCCGATAAAAAAATAATAGTATAATATTTGTAAAGTAATGTACAATTGTACCGTTATAAAAAAACATACAAAAAAAAAATTAATACCATAATGACATAAATCATTCCAATAATGCAAAAAGCATAATTGAAATATTGAGTTTTGTTCTAAATAATCAAACGAAGATTAATTAAACAGAAAAAAAAAACCTTAACCTAATTTTTTTTTTAAATGCAAGAAAATGATTTTCAAAGTTCATGATTTATAATCTTTGATGCTCAACTTTGAATGTTTTGTATTTAGTCGGACTAATTATTTGACTAAAGTTTATGTTAAATTTTATATTGTATTTATTTTTTTAATACTCCGTATATTTTAACATATTCGTAGTATATATTTAACAATTATGCCAACTCTGATTAGGATGAGGTTCGAACCTAAGACCTTTCCTATAGAAACTAATGAGTAACTTAAGAATAATAAATAGTTAATTAGGGATTCAACCTTTTGGGAGAAGAATAATAAATAGTTAATGGAGTATTCCGTTACTAAAGTTTATACTAACGGAATCCAGTGTTATTTAAGGAAAGAAAATAATATAATAAAGGGTAAATAAGGAAAATTATAAAAAATACTAAAATTGAAATAATATGAACTATTCATATCAAAAAACAATATAATTATACCGACATTTTTTCGTTGCAGTAAAGAGCCTAACATTATTGGCTCTTATTAGATTTTGTAGATTTGTAGATTATTATTATTATATTACAGTTTGTAATACAAATGTTTAGATAAAATTCATTATTAGAAAGGAAATTAAATACATCCATAGGGTCAGGGAAGAAGTTCTTGAGCTTAAAAAAAAAAAAAAAAAAAGTCAAATAATCCTTGAGCTTTATATGAAAAAACAAATAGACTTCTGAACTTTAAAAAGTTAGCATTGAAGCTCAGAAATAAGTCTACTAATAGGGAATTTGTGATCATAAGTGAAACACCACGTATAGTAGGAGAGGATCGGAGTTGGTGGCAGGAGATCAGAGTGCTGTGTTCTTGCATGGGTATGATTTCGATCATCATCTGATCTGATCTATCTGGGATATAACTCAGTAATGGAGGCCTCATTTTGCGATGCTGCTGCAGCTTCATTAAGCTCCAGCGTAGCCTCAGGACTGATAGTACTGTGCATGAAGAATGCGGGTGCAGATGGCACTGGAAGACTCATAGAAAAACCAGTAAGCATAAGAACAACTGCGGACATTGTTGGTCTATCTCCAACGTTTTCTTGGACACAAAGCAATGCCAAGTGTATGCACCTCATCATTTCACCCACTGCACCAGATTTACCTTTCAGGATTGGATCTACCAGATTCATGCCTGTCCCTTCCCGCCACTGTGTCCAAGCCTGCACTCATCGTCACACTTTAATTACTCATCAAACTGATATAATATTGTTTTATATAAATGTTGTTTAATTTACACTTACATAGCTCAGAAGGTCTTGTACAGATTCCCCGTTTCTGAAACAACTATTCTTCTGCCCACTTATAATTTCCAGAACTAACACTCCAAAACTGAAAACATCAGACTTAACTGAAAATTGACCATGCATTGCATACTCTGGTGCCATGTATCCGCTGCAATTTAGATAACCCAAAATAATTATATTAAGAATTGTGTCATCATTCCAAGAAATGGAGTCAGTTACAGACCAAAATGAAGGTGGCCTGGTCTGCATATATATATATATAGATATGATGCTTACTAAGTTCCTACAATTCTACTTGTATTGCCTTCGCTTTCATCCATTTCAAACAATTTTGCCATGCCGAAGTCTGAGATTTTTGGGTTCATTTCTACATCTAGTAGAACATTGCTTGCTTTGAGATCGCGATGAATAATACGAAGGCGAGAGTCTTCATGAAGATAAAGAAGTCCCCGGGAGATGCCACTAATGATCTTGTAACGTGTCTCCCAATCCAAATTTTCTCTTTTGACAGAGTCTACCACAAGTGGATTACAACATCAAAATTGAATGACAAAGAAGAGTTTTATAAAAAGAATCATAGAGAGATAAAAGAAAACAATACCAAATAAAAAGTGGTCAAGACTTGTATTGGGAACAAAGTCATATATAAGAAGCTTTTCTCTTCCCTCCAAGCAAAACCCAAGCAGTCTGACCAAATGTCTGTGCTGAAGCTTGGCTACCAAAAGGACCTCATTTTTAAATTCTAAATCACCTTGTCCTGAATTAACAGAAAGCCTTTTCACCGCTATTTGTCGTCCATTTGGAAGTTTACCCTAAATTGTTCAAGCATTCAATCATGCAAAACATAATCATTGAGTTCTAGTCGATCAGTAAGAAATAACTAACTACATTAAATCACTAACATGAATAGTAGCAGACCGTTAACGTACTTTGTAAACAGGACCAAATCCACCTTGTCCAAGTTTATTAGAATCCGAGAAGT